TGTTTTTGTTTTATATCTCTTTTTTGTTTTGTTTTTTACTGGGGATGACCTAGACAAGTTCTTTGTTGAACTTTTGTCATTACCCTGTCATTTTATTAACATCATGGACTAAAATAAAATTGATTGAACCATGGAGAACGGCAATAATAAATATATCTACTCCATAATAGGACGTATGCAAGTTTTATAAAGATGTAAGCGTAACAAAACAGGTGTGACTCTAAAAACTCTGGAGATTCCGCCGAGCGTTCGTCGGCATTTCGACGCAGTTATAGTTGAATGAGGTTCCCCCCACCCTCAGCACATCTCTATTGAGGCACATTATTTAATGTCAGTAAAAGGAATAGATCTTTAGAACTAGAAGAAAAGAATATCCGCTGGCATCGAGATACATTTAGAGTAACAGAATTATAATACCGCCATAAAGAAAATTCCTCAACACATTTTTTAGCAAAAGAAATACCGCTGATACAAAAACAACATCAGCAGCAAACAAAGACACAGCATGTATTTACTTGCTGTGTCACAGTAGGCATTCAGGCGGACATTTGGTGAAAAATCGAAAGTGCTCTCTTCAAAGACTCAAATAGTGTGAAATATACTTGAATTTACGAAGTATATTTTCGTCTACAAATATTTTTTTCTGAATTCAGGTTCTTTAAATTTATTATAATTTTTAAAACGCAATAAAGTAGTATTGAGCAAATATACTCTCGTTCTGAGTTTAAAAAAAACACATGTCCGCCTAATCTATAGAAAAATGTTCACTGTGTCTGTACTGCAACACTGTTACCTCATGTGTACCAACTAATCCTATCGCATGGCTTAAAAAAGATTTTTCTGATGCGTTTTCTATGAAAAAGGATGACCTCTCACATTTATGATGCAAAGACCTAATTAGGGTCAAACAAAAGAGAATATGAATGACTCGAAGGCCGAAGGTCTGATAAAAATGTGAATAGTGCACACAAAGCATTAACAAGAGACTAAATCGGATCGGAAAATCTTGATTCGTCCTGTTTTAGTCTGTAATAGAAACACGCAAAACATCCTGATTTAATTATAAAAAACAAACAAAATTCAGAACGAATTTTGTACTGAATAAACTACAAAGTTTATTTTCGATGTTATTAAAATACCAGTACATTTATAAAGTAAACACACAACTCTTATTTACAAAAAATTGAAAATTCATACATTTGTCTGACTTTACATAAGACAGCACACGCTGTTGACCGAAACAGTTACCCGGCGAAAATAATCTTGAAATATGATCTTACAAGGTTTCACAAAATCTTACAAAATGTGATAAGAAATAGTACGAACTTGCAAGAATTCATAAGACCATATAAGTCGAATTTCTTATAAGATCTTATAAGAAATTTATCTGAACATCCGAGTTGATATGTCTGCTGTCATTTCACCCGATCTCTTTCTGTTTTTCCTTTTGATTGATCTTTTCTCGTCTACATTGAATCCAGGTGCCTGATACACTTTATTCTGTGCTCAGCTGGAGTGTTAACTTGAAGAAATTGAAAATTTTAAGGTTTAACCATCCGAACAACATTGTATACCGTATCAGTAGCAAATTTTTGTGGTTCGACGACTCGTCACTTCTTGAAGATCTTAGCATAAGAAACTTAAACTTGATACACCAATGAGTGCCGCAACTTCTTGTGTACATGAAACTTTTTTTTCGTTTGAAACGGTGACAACATGATGAATCACTAACATCTGCTCTGTATTATCTTATTGTTCCGTTTCTTGCCAACTGGCAACCAATGACGTCGCCACATTCTTTTTTTACTATGGAAGGTGTCGTTGTTTACAATCCTATCTTATATACGAACGTATTTTAGCATGCAAATAAAGGTATATAACTGTTTCTGATTCTTGGTTTATCATTGTTTTAGTTTATTGTTAAAACAAAATTTTCAACAAAAGACGACAACAGAGTGGTGTATTGCTTAGCAACGCAATCGCGAACAATAGGGATGGAAAGATGATCAGTGCTCATCATGGATAGTATATACAAATGATATACAGTTGATAACAAGCGAAAAACAAAGAAGTACAGCTATGCCATCTGGTGCAAAAAGCGACGAGCAATATCAAATGAAGCTCTCACTGCCAGAGCAAATCGAAGAAATAAGAAAAAAACGAGAATTACTAGGTAATAATAATTGAGTAGAATCTGATGGAGAGAAAACGTTGAAATAGAAAAATCTTCTATCTAAAATATCTAATGTGTATCCGAAAGAAAATATGCCGTTTTCATCGTGTCTTGTATTTTTTTTCTTTAGCCGGATGTCAAGAAGCTTTTACTGAACAAGTTGATCTACAAACAGATAAAAACAAGCGAAAAATCTCGCAGTTGCAGAAAGAAAATAAAGAGCAACGACGAAAACTAAAAGAATTACTCGAGGTAAAGCTCATAACAAACAAGTGGACTAGAGGTATTACAGTTATTGATGCTTTTAAAAGGGCGACGAAAAAGTTTTAAACGAAGCATTCAGTGGGAGAAAAGATGAACGTGCAGCCCTAAAAAATAAATCCGGTTATGTAAGTATTTGTTTGCATCCCATTATCCTATGCTCATATAATTTATTTTTATACAAGATTGCCATTCAACTGACAGATGAACAATTGGGCGACTTAAAGAATAAATTAAATTCTTATCGTCATCAAAATACCTCAAAACAGAAACAATTGGAGGAATTGCAAACACGCTATGATCAGATGGTCAAAGATACAGACGAAGCAGTTCGAACAGATGCTGGTGAATCAGAAACGGCTGCTGTGAGTAAAATATTTTGCTGCTTTGACCATTTATCTATTTAATTTAAAATGCACTATTTACGTTTGTAGCGTCTAAGACAATTAGAAAATCGTCTCGATAAGGCTGAACTAAAATGTACAGAAGCAGTTACCATTCAAAGAACATATAATCAAATTAAATCTCATCTTATTCAGGTTCGAAAGTTATTTTCATATAATTATTTTTATTACTTCTTGAAATATTTTTTAGGAAAGTTTAACGTATACAAATCGTTTGGATGCTATGGAAAAACAAATTCATAAAACACAAGAAGAATTTAATGAAGTAGAACGTATTGCAACAGAGGCAGAATTAGCACAGAAAAATGCTAAAAATGAATTGAAGAAAAGTGAAGATAAAGTTTATAGGTAAGATGAAAAGTTAGATACATATCGTATAAACGATAAAATCAAATATACTTTGTTTGTTTTATCAGAGAACGAAAAGAACGTGAATTACGATTAAATGGATTGAAAACGGAAGCTGAAGAAAAAAAAATGCATACTGAACGTGCTGATCGTCGACCAGTATGTTTTATTTTTTCTCAACAAGGAAGATTTTATCTAACTTCTTTATATGTTTGTGTGGATATAGTTGCAACGTCCTACTAGTCCACAAGAAGACGTCAAAGATCGATTATCCGAACAAGATCAAACAAAAATTGATATGTATGAAGAAGCATTTTCAAAAATTAAAGAAGCAACAGGTGCTAGTACAATGCAGGTAAATATTGATACGTCTTTTTTCATATTATACTAATAGTATTTAGTTTTTTAAAGGAAGTTGTTGAACGCTTTTCATCACAAGACGAGACAACAGCTCATTTAGAAAAAATGAAACAGGAAGCTGAACAAAATACAGCAAAACTTCTTGAAGAAAAATCAAGATTAAGTAAAGAATTTGAAGAAATGAAATATTCTGGCGAAGCAAAAACATCAACGTAATGAAGTTCATTTCTTACTAGATAAATAATCGATTTAATTTAATTTTTCTATAGAGGACAACGTTTTCTGGAAAATGCTCAAGAAACACTTGATAATAGTGAAGATCGACGAGAAAAAAGTGTAATTAAAATGGAAAAAACGATGAAGAAAATGATCGAAGTAAAATCGGGCATTGAATATTTGGCTGCCAAATTACATCATTTAAAAGGAGTACGTATCATCACGTAGTTACCTAGTTCAAAATAGAAGTAACTGACTAATCTAAATTGTATTTTTATTTTTCGGAATCGAATTTGAATATTTTTCTTGTTAAATATCACTGTTTAAATTACAAATGATAAACATTTTTTTTTTATGTTTAGACCAAAAGTCAAGTTGCAACAACAATTATATCATCTCAATCCAATGATTATGTACTTGATTTATTGGGAACAACTGAAGAAAAATTAGTAAAACTCGTTGAAGAACTTGAAGCTAAAGATTTACAAGGAACATTACGTGAATTACGACAACAAGATGTACATCTTTTCTTTCCGTCTCTATACTGTCATATCATTATATATATATTTTTTTCTTGCTAGTTACAACTTTATAGTGACGGTAAATTGCCACAGTATAATACCCGTATAAATCCACCATCGATACAGAAAGGAGGCGCACTTTACGGAGGTAAATGTTATTTACAAAGTATCGTTTTATTATATTATTCTGTTTGCTTTTCATTTTAAGATGATGAGAATGCTGGAGAAGATAATCCAGAAGCAATGACAAGAGATAGAATTAAAATGAATGCTGAAGAACTGATAGGATTAAAAACAAAACGAATGAAAAAGCCAAAAAGCAAAAAATAACTAGGAAAGATTGAACGATTATTATTATTTTTCATTTTTAAAACAGTGATCATTTATTGCACAAAATATATTATTTGAATCTTCAGTTTTATTCACTAAAATTTGTTATTTAATAAAAATTTATTTATTTGCATGCTCTACTTCTTTTTTTAAATTTGTAATAAACATATATCCTTCCACATTTTTCCTGTTTAACTATTTTTCATCCATAGTTTCATAGTTTGTGTCACAAAGTGTTTTGTTGAAAACACTTTTGCATAGCCCAGTATATTATTTTATCAAAGGTAGCAACTTTATCCAACAAAAAAATTAAATAGAACAAAAATTGACTTAAAAACAATGTAAAAGAAAAAAATAATTGAAGAATAGTGCACAAACGTGGTAAATTAGCGAAAATGGGCAAAATATATATTTTCGCTAGTATAAATAGGACATATAACAATTTATTGTGTCACCAAGCCATTTCACCACCTTCAAACAATTTACCAAAACAAGTGCTACCTGGTGTATTAAAATGAGAATACGGATTAGTTTTGGGTAATTGCCGTAAACAAGTCCAACAAAAATATTGATGACATTTACCGCATGCCATTTTGTTGCAGCCTTCTAATTTCTAAATATAAAATAATATATATGGTAGACTTTTTCATAGATTGGTAAAGCGTGATACTATGCTAGAGAAGCTAGTCCCAAACTAGAGATTAAATACATCCTTTGTAATGCACTTTTTACAATTAACTAATTTACATCATATGAGTTTTATAATAAAAATAGATTCTACTTTGTATTAGAGAACAAATACGTACATCGACAAAAATTGAACATGATGGGCATTGTTTAGCTGTATTTTTAATTGTTTCCATACTACTGATATCGTCCATTAATCGTTGAAAGATTTTACCATGAACTTTTTCTAAGTCAGCTCGAATTTTCTCACTACCATTTTTATATTTTTCATACAAATCAAGCATTTGTACTGACGTTAACTGACAATGATTTATACCATGATACGTTCGTTTACAAAGAGTACAAAATGCATTGTAACAATTGGCACATTCTCCCAATTTACTTTCTTTTGATTGAATAATAACGGGATGACGACAACGTGGACAATATGTGATATCTTCCATGAGATCGAGTGATGATTGAAATAGAAGACGATCATAACGATGAAACATTGTAGGACTAACAATAGATGAAATCTAAACATAGAAAAATACGTACTGCTATTAATATACTGTATAATTGATGAGAAAACATGATCAAAATCATTACTTGAGCTGGTGTTAATTCTATATTGCATTGTTTATTAAGTGGACAACAAATCAATCTAACACTTCCTTCGTTAATCATTGATTCAATATATTTTCTAATACAATTATTACATGCCATTTCGGTACATTTATAACAAATGAAACAATCTGAACCATACACATCATCGCAGCTAAAAATAATCAAGTGTCAAAAAATCTAAAAATACATTAATCATATGCTTACCATATTGGACAACTGAGAACAGATTTGGATAAAACTTGTGCTTTTCTTTCACGTTCATAATCAATAATGGTATGCGCAACTTGTTGTGCTGTTAATGTTAGCGATTTTGTTATAGATGGTGATTGTGGTTCGTCAATTAAACATGATGCAGTACTGTTATTATTATTTTGAAAAGTTTTTGGCGATGATTTTGTAGGAAAATATTTATTAAGATTAAGAAGATTATTTAGATTAAGCCATTCGAGACAGTTTTCACTTAATGATGAATGCCAAAGAAAAAGAACTGGTTCAAATTCATTTTCATGCCACTCATCATCTAATTTATTCTGAAGAATGCTAATCTGAATAAAGGAAAAAAGATCATAATTAGTAAGTCTAGTCTAAGAATATTTCCTGAATCAGCAAAAGTCTTTCATTGTCCAATATGCTGTTGAAATTCTGATCTGATCAACTTGCTGTCTATATTAGGAGGGTTGTCTGTTGCGCTCTAACGGTTTTGCGTTATCGTTACTAGTAAAGGGTGAGGATTCAAGCGTTACCGCTACTGTAGCAGGTAACGGTTAAATCAAATGAATAACTTTGAAGTTTGCTTAATATGAATTCTGACTTAAAATATTAACTGCGAGCATTATTCTTATATATAATTCAAAAATTCTGTTAATACTATCAAGAGATACAAGTTCCATTCTCCAGCATATTTTTCAAAGTCGAATTATAGGT